CCCCAAAACCCCAAAACCCCAAAACCCCAGATATCAAATAATTTGATTTCTATCATGAATATTTAGATCATTAATTAACTGATTCTTATTATAATGATTTATTTTGATATTTAGATTATGAAATGACTAATATAGTTGTAGGAAGGTTTTCATAAATATCTATTTCGTCAAATTAATAGTTACTAAATGTCTTAAATTTCATCATCTTTTCATGATCATCTATTAAATACAAGTCATGGTAAAATTTTAAAGTTAGGAGAACTGGTAAACCAGTTGATTAAATACTAAAATAGTTAGTCAGGACTGATGGTAATTTAATTTTGTTGTTTTGGGTGATATAATCACTTACCCTCACAGATATATATATTCTTGGGTTATTTGTTCAATAATTTTGGCTTTAAATTTAACTCTCTAATTGATTAATTATATAAAAATACTTTAAATGGCAGACGATGATAGCTTCTAGAATGGAGTCAATATTTTAAATGACGAAGAAGATGATTAAATTTAAATGAGTAGTAGCAAGCCTGGCAAAAGAGGTGTAAAGAAGAAGGGTCTTCTCAAGGATGATAGTAAGTATCTAACACTATATAAATCTATCTTTACTTATAAAATATAATGTAGTACATAAAATGATGGTCGGTTTTGGAGAATGTGAAGAGCCTAGGGATGATACCATGGAGCTTATGGAGTTATATGTGATTGAGTTTATCACAAACATTTCTAAAAGAGCTTAGCAGAGAAGTTAAAGAGGAGGCTTCACAAACATCTAACTGAGGGACTTGTTAAAAGTGATAGAAGATGATGAAAAAAAGTTCTTGAGAGTACCATATTTATTGACAGGTATACAAAGCATGGACATTAAGTAAATTCAGAGAGAAATGGATCCTACAATCGGCAACAATGCTAATAAAGGGCTTCTAAATGCTTGAACATCAAAGATAATTAAATCAAAATGTCTTTGAGAATAAAGTCAATTTGGATGAAAATTCAATTAAGTTGGCAAATAAAGAAATTGGCTCTCAATCGCAAATTGTAATTAAGTTAAATGTTTGGAATATATTCAAATAAAATCGATTGAATCAATAAGTCTTTTAAGTTGGGTAAACAATACTGTTTTCTGACTGAATTATAATTTCATTAATATGAACTTTAATCATAACTTAAGTTAATTTGATTATTTGTTATTTTTTAAGGAAATATAAGCATTAATGAAAAAGCATTCACTGATTGGTTCTTTATATTCTCTTATCTACTAAATTAATCGATTTCTATCAACTTTTAAGAGTGTCCACTAACCTATTTAATTTCGTTATATTAATCAAATTTCTATTACCATTCAAAAGCTTCTTATAATCCTGTACCATTCATTGCAGAGATTTTAAACAATGACCATGGCCTATTCTTGATAGATGTCAATCCTAGTCCGCTACATATCTATACAGACATTATTATAATTATCTCTATCCTAGCTTACCTCTTGATCATTAAGGGCATTTGGTAAGTCTTATTTATTAGCTAGCACCAACACTGGTACTCCCTTGAGTTCCTCTTCCTACAGCATGAGCTCTAACTCCTATCTGGCAACCTCTACTCTTTCCTTGTCAGCTGAATCAATGACAAAAATCACAGCATTAGTGTCTTAATAGTAGCATCTCCAATAAGGTCTTAATCCAGTCTGCCCACCAAGATCCCACACTTAGAATTTCAGGTTCTTGTATGTCACAGTTTCCACATTAAAACCCACAGCTATAATATAGATTAAGAATACTGCTCTAAATTCAGAGATTGATAGAATGAATGCCATTAAGGCTTGGCAATTAATCATTACTTGGTACAGTAGGAACTATTTCATCAAGATGCAATCTGTCTGTAGAAATGATTAGCCATAATAATTTTAATTACAGAGAATAGTAGTTTTGCCTGCATTATCGAGACCTATGATAATAATTCTCATTTATTCAGTCCCCATAAGACCTTTGAAAAGTTTTGAAAATACAAAGCCCATATTATTTGATTAATAATTATTTATAAATTGAAATCAATATTTTATTACTTCTATCAGATGTCATGTATTTTATCTCTAGGGGTTTTGGGGTTTTGGGG